GCCCCCAAGCCCCGCCTAGCCATCCTTATTTTTTTTTTTTTTTTTTGGTCAACCACACGCCAGCCCTCTGCCTCTGCCAGGAAGTTGGAGCCAATTTGTGGGTGGTCTAGAGACCTGCGCTGGGGTACAAGCTGCACGGCCCCCTGGGTCCTGGGGTTGCCCAGTCGCTAGGGAGTTCATAACATCATTTATGGAGTTGCCAGGGCAGACTGATACAGGGACGATCTGGAAAGACCCAGCCCACAATGGGCCAGGACTGGTGAGGACAGCAGGGTGAGTGCAAGGGGGAAGGGGAGAAATGGGGGGAGGGTCAAACCAAATCTTTACAGCAGGCACAGAGCTCTGGCCGCATCTCAGAAGGGGGTAGGTGGCAGAGCAGGGGAGCGCTGGGCTCTAGGCCCTGTCTCCCAGTGGCTGGAAAGCTGGAGGAGGGGAGGCTGGAAGCTGGCACAGGGCCTTTGAGATAGAATCTTCCCAGACCCTGAAGAGGGGCCATGAAAAGAGAGCAGGCACCACCCCGTCCCTTCCACACCCATCCCTCAGCAAGCTTGCGTTGTCTGGCAGACATCACTAATCAAGATTACACTGTCCTCCCCCACTGAGCCCAGACCAAGCCTCAGATTCTCCGAACAGCCTCCGGCAGCCACTCCTGATTGATCAGGGTCGAGGCATCTTGCAATACAGTTGCTAACACTGGTCTAGAATTTGAGACCTGCATATGAGGGGCTGATTTGTGGGTGCTGTGTGGGTGTGAGTCTGTGGGGAAAACCTCTCCCTGCCAGATCCTGGAAGAAACACTCAGAAATGTGCTATGGACAGCGAAGGGACAGGAAAACCATGTCACAGCAGAAATGATGAGGTGCCCTGGGGTTCTTTAGCCTGGAAATAATGGGGCTCGGGGGGACAACGTGTGGCCTTATCGCTTCGGGAAAGAGAGAGCGCAAGTGGGATGCCATGGACAGAACCACAGAAAAACAGGAACCTCTTCCGTGTATTGAGCTGATGTTAAAGTCAGAGCAGTCCAAAGAGAAGCCTGTCTTGGAAGGTAGTAAGCTCCCTGTCCTTGGAGGTGTGCAAGAAGAAGGTGGAGAAGTCTTGGCAGGGATCTTGTGGAAGACATCTGAGTGGCAGTTCTGAGTGAGGAGAGGAGAACCAGATGATCTTGGGGGTTCCTTCCAGCCCTGGGGGCCAGGGAATTGGTGGAGTTGGTGGAGGAAAGGTGGGCAGTGTAGAAAATGGGCTGTGGTGTGTGTGCATGTGTGTGTTCCTGGGACTTAGGGAAAAGTATGGGGAGATGGCAGGGAGGGCAGGGAGGGCAGAGTCCAGAATTTTCTTAGCTGTGGAGCCGGGAAGAGGCAATTCCTGACCAGCTTGCCCGCTCTCTTCTGGGGAAACCAGGATGCAGAGGCCAGGGAGGGGTGTGAGCAGCAGGTCTGCTGGGACCAACAGAGCCCTGGAAGGAGTGACAGGCAGCCTGGGGATGGCGGGGTTCTTGTTCAGAACTGTCACGCACGTGCTGTGTGACTGGATGAGAAATTGCTCCTCTCTGGGCTTTCCAGATTATTTGTTCCAACAGATGGGGAAGCACGGACCCTACCGGCTGGGCCATCCTTGGATCCAGCATCTGCAGCCCACTCCTGGCCCCAGCCTGAGTCAGGGACAACTCCATCCTCGGAGGACCAGGGACTCCACGTAGGTTCCAAGTCCTCAAGGACATGGTGACCAGATCTCCTCAGGGCCCCTGGGCTTTGCCAACCTTTCTCCACAATTTTCTTTCGCCTCCTTCTTGCCTAAATCCTTATTACTTCCTTGGCACCAGATCCTGAAGCTGTGAGTTGAGGGCCCAGGTCCCGGGCTGCCAGATCTGGCTGCACCAAGGAGGGGGCCTGGCCCTGGTGTTGCTTTGCTCTCTAGTGCAGGCTGCATCCTGGGTTCAGGTGCCCGGGCCCCCGCGGAGAACCCCACGGCGCCCATTCCGGAGTCCAGATGGGCCACATCAGTCCGTATTTTTGCCTTCAATTTTTTTGTTAAAAAAATAGCTATTTTCCTCTGCCCCATTTCCTGGCCACTCATCATGGCCTCACCTCCTCCCCCGGGGCCAAGAGGGCAGGGGCGAGGGGGAGGGGAGGGCATTGGGTGCTGGGCAGTGGCGGGTGGGGTGAGTCTTCAATCTTCAGGCCACACCCTCTACTGGATGCCCCGGAAGAGGCACATCGCAAAGACCATGGCAAAAAGCTGCAAAGAAAGTAGGAGTTTGCTTGTCAGGCTGGGCTCACAGCCCTCCAGGGGGCTGTCCCTCCCCAACGAGAAGGGGCTGTCTGCTCTGGGACAGGAAGGGGGCTCACCCATCACTCTTAGAACACTCCTGCTGCTGGCACTCCTGACACTGCCCTGGGGGCAAGCCCCTCTTGCCAGTCACTGGTCCCCTTCATGCCGTGTAGTCATGAGAAGAAGGGGGCTTTGGACATGGGTTCAAATCCAGCTCCCTTATTTGCCAGCAGCAAACTTGGGCCAATACTCAGTTCCCTTTTCTGGGCCTGAGTATGTATCTATCAAGAGCCTGCCATGTGCCATGCATGGTTCTAAGCGCTGTCTCAGAAACATTTTCACAGACCAGGAGACGAGACACAGGGAGGTCAGGTAACCCACCTAAGGTCACACAGCTACAAATGGAGGATCCAGGATCGGAGTCTAGGTATTCTGACTCCACAGACCATGCTCCTAGCCCCTGCGCTCGCCTCCTCCCAACTCACAGGAAGGAGGTGAGATTGAAGTCTAAGGCAATTAACGATGTAACGAGGCCTGTTACATAGTAGATGCTTAATCAGAAGTTACCAGGATTGTTACTAATAGACAAGGAAGATGCAGCCCTTCTCCAAGCTAGGAGCACAATCACTGAACACCTGTCTAAGGGCCCTGGGGTAGTGGGGTGTGTAGAGACCCTGACTCAGAGATGCCCATTTCTTCAGACTGGCTGACGCCCCTGTGCCAGAGCTCTTGCAAGTAGCGCAAGGCGCAGTCCCCAGACCACAGGCTCATGGCCGAACCTCCAGGAGGGACAGTGGGGTGGAGGCAAAGCATACGGTAAAGACCCCCGAATCAGAGCAGGGTTCTGCCTGGCACAGAGGCCAGAGCTGGGCTTGTGGGCTGGGTGTGAGGGCAGTAGGTCAGGAACACAGGTATTGCTTAGCTAGCCCCTATTACACGCCAGGCATGTAGTCCCCAGCACCTGTAAGCCCCACCGTGCCCTAGGAGCAGGCTTTCAGCACCATGTTGCAGATAAGGAAACTGTGGCTCGGGCATCCTGTGCGTGGGGAGAGGCAGAGCTGGAAGGTGAACTCTAGAAGCCCATGTTCTTCCTGCAGGGGACCCACACCTGCGTTTTCCCAGGGGGTCTGGTACTGATTTGTGTTTCTTGTTCATTGTTTCCTCCTAGGAGAGGACTTGTTCACCTAGAACCGCGTTGGCATACAGTAGGGGCTCAATCTTTGCTTGATGAATGAATGAATGAATGACCCCTACCTCTCCCCATCCTCAATAGTCTCCACAAAACTGCTCTAAGCAGGGCTGTAGGACACAGTGAGAAGCTAAGCAAGGCCGGCCTGTTTACGGTGCCAGGTGGGAGGGGGAAGGCTGAGGATAGAGTGGCCTGATTTCATTTCCTGGCTGGCCGAAGACTGGCAGCCCCTTTCTTGAGATGGGCGGGCCTGGGCAAAGCCCTCTGTCCAACCTCCCAGGGCAGCGGGTTTGAGATCCGGGG